CCCCAAAACCCCAAAACCCCAAAACCCCATAATTCTTATAATTCATTGGAAGCTTGGACTAAAGTTATATGGGATTTTCTCAGGAGTTAGCACCTTTGGAAAAAGTCTTGCACAATCTTTGACTCGTGCCACTTAGGTGTAAGCAAAGACTCCATCCTAATTTTCCTGTACATGGGGAATTTCAAAAAATTGAGTTTATTGAGATCCATAGTTTTTCCCTCGGAGAAGTTCAAGAAACGTCTTTTCTGAATAGGGTTTTCACGCATGAATGAGTCCCTCTTGATACCTTTCACGGTTGACTTGGAAGAGTACTATACAGATTTAATACTAGCCTTACTCTTGTTCTCAATGGTGAGAAATTTCTGCTCTTAGACTCACTACTCCTTTCGGGAACTAAAAATTGGTTAGTAATGAACAATTCTGCAATTTAGGTTAGTTTTTGAAAAATTTAGGAAAAATGGATTTACTTCTTGTGAAGTTAGTAGAGCTACTTGTGGTGAATCTAAGCAGACCGTTCTTCTTTGCTATCTTTGGATTCTTGACAAAGGTTTTTGGTCTATAACAGTCATCAATGGCTTACCTTTTGATCAAATTGGTACTCATATTTGAATTGACTATAAGGTTTAGGCATAAAAACCTAACTCTTTTGGACAAACGAGGTTTGCTTTACAATAGGTTCATGTTTTTGAGGGGATCTCTTCTTGCCACTTGAACTATCAAGATTAAGCCTCGCTGGATGAGACTGCTCAAGCTTGCTATATACATTAGCAAATTGAGTGTACTGTAAATTATCAAATGATTTGGCCATCTCCCTGTTCTTCAAGCTTGCTCTGAAACGTTTATAGCTCACTGTGGTTTCGTTGGTTTTCCTAAAGTCATAGACTTGAAGCATACTTCTGCACATTCCTGCGTACTTGTTTAGAGATTTTGGAGATATCCTGAATTCTTGCTTGATTCTCCAGAATCCATTTGCAAAAGTTTTCAATATCGGGAGAATTTTCAGCATCAAATAAATCTTTGCGAAGTTCCAGAAATGCTTCGATACACATTTTGTTTGAAATTGGTGCTGCTAGAGGACTTTTTGAGTCATTTTGGGGTCCTGAGAACAACTTCTGCAGAATTTCAGCTATGTATTACTTGAAGAATGTATACTAATATCATCTTTGGTGACTATTGGTTATAAACACATTGTGAAATTACCTTGTTTTAAATTTTTATTTAACTTTTTGAAACAAATCAACACCTTTTTGGTTAAGTGCTCTAGCTCCTTCATTTCGTTAAGCTTATTTAAAGACATTTTCAAAGCTCACTCCAACAGGGATCGGCGATAGCAGCTATAGAATTGGTTAAAACCATTTGGAACATGAACACCCAAAGTTTGGTGGTAGAGATTTTTGTACTGAATTACCTCCTGTGTGTTGACGGTAGACTGGAGTCTAAGAAATTAGATCAAGAGATAATTACACTTTTGAGTCGTACAAGTTGTTCCTCCGCTGTCTTCTGTAAGGTTCCTCTGCTTCAACTATACCTTGTACTGACTGAGGAAGAATTATTTAAGACTTACCGTTTTCATCTGGGTTACAATTTATAGCAGGAATTTTGGATTTTTGACTGTTACGCCTAGAGTTCTATAATAAGTGATATTATTCGCTATTCTTTAAAGAAGTTAAAAGCAGAATTTAAAGCTTAGAAACACATTAAGTACCTGATTGGATAGTCTCCTCATCATCATTTTTTAATTTTCTGGTAAATTTATTAAAATCAAGAGAATTTCAATTACGCTGGTAGGTATTGGGGTTTTGGGGTTTTGGGGTTTTGGGGTTTTGGGG